GAGGCGCAGGCGACGGATGAGTAGAGGGAGGAGGACGAGGAGAAGGAGGAGCAGAAGGAGGAGGAGGAGAAGGAAGAGGAGGAGGAGGAGGAAGCGATGGGGTCCCTGGCCCATCTATGTCCTATCCAGGCTGTGCCAGCTTTGCTCTTTCTCCCACTCAAAAACCTACGCCCCAAGCTGAAGCCAGCGCTGTCGCAGGCAGGGGTGGGAGGGGAAGCCCGGGAGCATCCCTGCAGCAGCCCGGAGCGGAGCCCGGGACACCGACCCGTGGTCCCCAGTGCCAGAGGGTGTAGGATCTGGGCGGCTGCGATGGAGGTGCCAGCCACTTCTCCCAGTGTTTGCTTTTGCCATTGGTTCCCGAGCTGCTTGTTCCAAGCCTTCCTCTCTTCTTTCCCGGCCTGTACAGCCTCCCCATGCAGGACGAGCCAGCTCCTGCTCTCCTGTAGACTTCACTTTTGCGAGCCAGAGAAAACGGACACAAAAACGCCTTTTGCACTCCTAACGAATCCTGACCCCACCTTTCATCCACGCCGCTGCTGCGGTGGCTTGGGCAGATGCAAAGACAGGGCCTGGCCTTGTCTGGGGCTGCTCCTCCTTTTAATGACCCTGGCCTCATTTTGCCTTTTTTTCCTCTTTTTTTGTTGCTGACACCTCCTCAGAGCTGGCCGGGGGTGGGTTATTATTGCTTCTGCAGGAGCATCCCCAGGCACCCGCGTTTGCAGTCTTAAATCGGCCGATGGGAAGCTCTCAAGGCACAGCCATGCCCTGGGGGGTCCGGCTTTGCCGAGGGGCTGGGGGAGACCCCCAGCTTGGCACAACTTTCCCCAGCACGCCAGTCCCCCATTGCCCCGGAAGACTTTTCTCTTGGAAATTCATTAAAAAAAAATAATTGGACCAAAAAACCCACATCAAGAAAAGAGAAGAACCATACACAGCCACCAGGAAAGTTTTCCAGAGTCTTTTAAAAAAAAGGAAAAAGGGGAAAAAAAAGGAAGCAGTCTTTTTTTCTCAGGCCCAAACGCTGCTGATCTCCTGGCTAGAGAAATGCATAGTTGGTAGCAAAACCCTCGGCTACATCGGGAGTCCCTGGAGCCAGGACAGCCCCTGAGCCATTGCGCCCCGAGGGCTTGCCGTGGGGCTGGGACAGCCGGGGTCATCACTCCCCCACCCTGAGGTCCATGCGGTTCTGACTCTGCCGGCCTGCAGCGCCTCCAGCACGTCTCCAGCTGCGTCCCAGCGCAGCAAGGTCCCGCCGCCAGCCCTGGGACATTGCCAGTGCTCCCACGCCCGCCCCAGCCCACTGCAGCCGTGCTTGGGGCCAGGCAGCAGAACAACAGTTCTTCTCTGGGAGAAGCTCAGATCATCTTCATGTTGAACTTCCTGGCTCCTCCTTGGCCGGTGGTGGTGGTGGGACCGTCCACCTTGCGGAAGGAGTACTCCACCGAGAAGTTGTTCTTGTGTTGCCCCCGGCCCCGGCTCCAGACGAAGAGGAGGAGGAAGCAGAAGAGCACCACACCCAGGAAGGTGATGCAGCCCATGGCCGTGGAGACCAGGATGGTCTTGAGGTCCAACGTAAACTTCAAGAAGACTTGCGTGTCATTGTGGGAGGTGTCGTTGAACTCGCTGAGGTACAAAGTCCGGTTCGCGTAGTGGGAACCGTCAGCCGGCCGCCCCTTGACGGTCAAGGGGGGGAAGTAGGTGGCGTTCCCCCCGCATTGCTGGCGATGCAGATGTAGGTGCCGCTGTCCTGCACCTGGGCGAAGCGGATCTCCAGGGTGCCCCCGGGCAGCACGGTCGCCCGCCCTGTGCTGCGGGTGGTGATCATGCGGTGCTGGGGGGACACCCAGGCGATGGACGGGTCTGGCTCCCCGTCCGCCCGGCAAAGGAAGGACACGGACTGCCCTTCCCGGGCCGTCACATGCTGCAGCTTCCTATCCCTTATCTTGGGCTTCTGGCAGGTGAAGTACTCGAAGAGCACGGAGTCTGGGAAGTCGCGCAGGGCGTTGCCCTGGATTTCGGGTGGCGAGGAGCACATGGGCTGCTGCCCATCGAAGTTGAGCGTCTTCCTTCGCTGCAGGATCCAGAGGAGGCGGCAGTCGCAGGCCAGGGGGTTCCTGTCCACCCGCAGCGTCTCCAGCGTGTTGACGGAGTGGAAGGTGCTCTCCTCCAGCGTGGAGAGAAAGTTGCTGGAGAGGTTGAGCAGCCGGATTTGTCTCAGGCCAGAAAAAGCCTGTGGCTCCACGGACACCAAGAGAGCGCCCACAATGTGGAGCTCCTGGAGTCGGATGAGGTCCTTAAAGGAGCCCTTCAGCACAGTGCTAATGGGGTTGTAGGACAGGTTCAGGTACCGGAGGTACACCAGGTTCCTCAAGGCAGCAGCGGGCACGGCTGTGATGTTGGTGTAGGTGATGGAGAGCGAGGTGAGGTTCAGACCCTGGAAGCTGGTGGGGGAGATGTCTTCCAGCAGTGGCCAGTTGTCGATCTCCAGCTGCAGGAGGTTGTAGAGCTTCTTGAAGTTTTGGTCCTCCAGCGCGGAGATGCTGAGGTGCCGGAGCCGCAGCACCTCCAGGTTCTGGAGGTAGGACAGCGACTCTGCTGAGATGGAGGTCAGGTTGCACTTCTCAATGGTCAGCTGCTCCAGGCCAAGCAGCCCTGAGAAGGCCCGCTGGGAGATGTACACCAAGTCGTTATCGCCCACCTCCAGGCTTTTCAGGTTTCGCAGGTCCTGGAACATGTAGTCCAGCAGGATGACGAGTTTGTTCTCGCTGATGTCCAGGAGGGTGAGGTTGGTCAGCTTGGTGAAGACCCCTGGAGGGATAAGCTTGAGCTGGTTCCCCCGCAGCCGCAAGGTCTGCAGGTTGAACAGGTTGCTAAAGGCGCCTGGCTCCACATTGGAGATGATGTTCTCACTGAAATCCAGCTCCTCCAGCAGCGGGTATGGGGAGAGGTCCCCTGGGTTCAGGCAGCGGATGCGGTTCTTGTTGAGCTCCAGGATCTTGGTCTCGGTGGGGATGCCCTCGGGGATGGAGGTGAGCCGCTTGCGGTGACACACCACCGACTTGATCTGCGGGGCACACTCGCAGCGGGCAGGGCAGGCTGCCACCCGTGGGGGGCTCAGGAGGACCAGGTGGAGGACCAGGACTGGGAGCCAGCATGTCATTGTGTAGAGCATGGTCTTACGGGCTCACTACCATTCTCCCATGTGCCTGGAAGGGAGAGAGATGCGGAGTCAGCAGCGAGCCCGGGAGACCCTTACAAAGACCACCCCAGCCCCAGATCACCCATCTGTGGGTTGAGACTGTAAAACATTCCCCAAACCATGGCCCATGGCCCTATTAAGGTCCCAGTCCTCCCCGGAAACACTCCGGACTGTTTTCTCAGCACCTAAGGTGTGACCCAGTGACTGTGCCCTCTGCAAACCTGGGGTAAACAAACCTCACCGCCCGCATCACTGTTAGGAGAGTGGGGAAACTGAGGCAGGAGGAGGTATTTGCAGGAGGAGACATGGCTGCAGACCCACATCTCAGCCTCTGCCCCGCCACTGGCTCACACCCGCTCCGTGCCACTGATGGTGCACACACAGGCGTAGAGGACTGTGAGCAGGAGCACCCCGGGATAACAGGGGACCCAGACCCCGCAGGGCAGCATAGGAGCAAAGACATGCAGCCAGAGGCCTTGCAACCTTGTGACACAAGTCCCCTCTGCTCCCTGTGCGGCTGCCGTGAGGTCTCGTCCGATGGCACAAATCCTGCCCAGGCCCTGCGCCCTGTGAGGTCCCGCAGGATGGGGGATGCTCAGCAGATTAAGGTGGCCATGGGCACAATCTTTGCAGATGAGGGATTAATACCGACCTTATGTGATGCAGCGCCCCGGCTGCCCTCCTTTCCAGGGATTAGCACTTCGCTGCTGCTTTCCCTTTTCTCTGCTTCCCCTTCCCCTCTCCCTATCCCCTCCTGTGCCCCAAATCTGCCGAGCTGCCACCGTGCCTGGAAATGCACCTCCCAGCACTGGTGCAAACTCGTCAGCCACCTGTCTGTAACGAAGCACTGTCATTAATCTAATTAAGTGGCAGAGCTGCTTGGTTGGGGCACTGTGGGGTGCTTCTGAGCCCAGCAAGGGAATGCAGGCAATTTGGGGGGTACTGAGAGCAGAGCCAGCCCCTCCAGCACCTCTGTGGAGGTGGAGTGAGCAGGGCAGGTCTCAGCCCTGCACTGGGGGTGAAACACCCGAAGACAAAATATCCCAAACGAGCTGACTGATGTGCCCTGAAGAGGTTCAACATCTCATGGTGTTGGGTCCTCACCCCTGTCCCCAGAGCAGCGCCAGGGCGAGCGCCTGGGCACAGCATCACCACCAGCGCCGCGGCAGGGGGCCCACCAAAGCAAGGCAGGAGCACCGACTTGGCACGCCTGCCTTCACCGAGAGATGCTCACCATGTCCCAGCAGCCCCCATCTCCTCCTTCTCCTCCTCTTCCTCCTCCTCCTTTTCGAACTCTGACTCCTCCACCTCCTCATCACTGGGATTTAATCGCTTTGTGCCTTCCCGGGTGTCTCCTGGCTGCTGCACCATATGGGCAGGCGGCAAGAGCATCCCCCTGCCCAAGTGCTGTCGACAGCATTTCTCACAGAATCACAGAATCATTAAGGTTGGAAAAGACCTTTAAGATCATCAAGTCCAACCAGCAACCCAACACCACCAAGCCCACTAAACCATGTCCTGAGGTGGCACGTCTACAAGTTTTTTGAACCCTCCAGGGATGGTGACTCCACCAATCTCCCTGGGCAGCCTGATCCACTGCTTGACCACTCTCTTTGTAAAGAAATTTTTCCCAATATCCAATCTAAATCTCCCCTGGCGCCACTTGAGGCCATCTCCTCTCATCCTATCACTAGTTACGTGGGTGAAGGGACCAACACCCACCTCACCACAACCCCCTCTCAGGTAGTTGTAGAGAGCGATGAGGTCTCCCCTCAGCCTCCTCTTCTCCAGACTGAACACCTCCAGTTCCCTCGGCCGCTCCTCATCAGACTTGTGCTCCAGACCCCTCCCCAGCTCCGTTGCCCTTCTCTGGACACGCTCCAGCACCTCAACATCCTTCTTGTAGTGAGGGGCCCAACACTGAACACAGGATTCGAGGTGCGGCCTCACCAGTGCTGAGTCCAGGGGCACGATCCCTGCCCTGCTCCTGCTGGCCACACGAGTGCTCGTACAGGCCAGGACGCTGCTGGCCTCCTTGGC